TATCTTACACAATAGGGAAATGGGAGGTGAAGGGGATAAGAGAAAGGAGGAGGGAAGATAAAAGGGAGGACAAATTAAGGGAGGCAGTGGTTAGAAACAAACTAGACTTTCCAGGAGGACAGAATAAAGAGAGAGAAGAGGAAACAGAAGAAAATGGGATACAGGAAAATACACTGTTAGTAATTATAACTGTGAATGTGAATGGGAACCCATAAAATGGAAGTAGATAGCAGAATGGATTAGAAACCAGAATCTAATCGTATGTTATTTACAAGAGAAACACTTGAAATAGAAAGACACACACAGAGTTAAAATAAAAGGTTGGAGCAGAATCTAATATGCTCTAACTGAACTAAAAAAAAACCAAAACAAAACTGCAGGAGTAGCTTTCATGAATTCAGACAAAGCAAAAGCAAAAATAGACCTAATCAAAAGGGATGATCAACAGCAAGGTGGCTGCCTATGTGTATCAGGGGAGGCAAGCTTTCAAGTCTACCTCAAAATCTCCACATCTACATGAGTGTCCTTAGGTGACCCAGGCTCCCCAATTTCTAAGGCCAAGGGTTCAGAGGAGCAGAGCAGATGGGTCCTCTCTGTCAATGGGACCTGCTTTTCCCTGTTGTGCGGGACTCCAGGGTTACCTGAAGGCCTTCACTCTGATGACCCGGTCTGCCTAGCAGTGCCAATAGAGAGAGGCCTTCTCAAGTGTGAGGAAAAATAGAACCCCAACTAAGGCCATATATGCTGGGAGTGCTATCCATAAACAATGGAAGGTTACTCTCATTGGAGATTATTGTGAAGGGGCTGGGTGACTTCTTGTCAGGAGATGTGGAGGGGACTCTTGGTCTGCAATGGGTGGACCAGATGACCTCTGAGGGCCCTTCCATTAGTCTGAGAGGTCTGTCATCTGGCCAGATATCCAGGATGTCTGGCTGTACTGGAACTGAAGAGTAAGGGTAGAGTAGGAATAAATATGGGCAGCTGAGGGGTGCAATGGATAGAATGACAGGCCTAGAGTCAAGAAGACTTATCTTTCTGAGTCCAAATCTGGCCACAGACACTTACTAGTTGTGTGATCATGGCAAGTCACTTAACTCTGTTTGCCTTGGTTCCTCTTCTGTAAAATGATCTGGAGAAGGAAACGGCAAATCACTCCAGTATCTTTGCCAAGAAAAGCTCAAATGATATCCCAAAGAGTAAGACATAACTGAAATGATTGAATATCAAAAAAAGGGATAATTAGAGAAACTACATTTTATTAAAAGGTATCATAGGCAATGAAGTAATATAAAAAACAATTATAGTAAGTTTATCTGATAAAGGCCCCATTTCCCAAATATATATTGAGTATAGAATTGAGTGAAATTTATAAAAATATTTTTATAAAAATTTATAAAAATAAGAGCAATTCCCCAATTGAAAGCAAAGGTATCTATAGTCATACAAAAAATGCCCTAAGTCATTATTGATTAGAGAAAAGCAAATTAAAACAACTCTGTGGTGCCACCTCACACCTATCAGAAACAAATGATACAGGGGATGAAGGAAAATAAGCACATTAACGCTGTTGGCAGAAGAGCAATTTGGTCTAACCACCCTGGAAAACAATTTGGAACTATGCCTAAAGAGATATAAAACTGTGCATGCCATTTGACCCAGCAATACCACTACTAGGTCTGCATCCCAAAGAAATCAAAGAAAAAGGAAAAGGAAAAGGACCTATACGTACAAAAATATTTAGAGCAACTCTTTTTGTGGTGGCAAAGAACTGGAAATTGAGGGGTTGCTCATCAATTGGGGAATGGCTGAACAAATTGTGGTATATAGTTGCGATGGAACACTATTGTACTATAAGAAATGACAAGGGGAAGGTGATTTCAGAAAAATATGGCAAGACCTATACGAACTGATGCAAAATGAAATGAAAAGAATCAGCAGATGGGCAGCTAGGTGGCACAGTGGATAGAGCTCTGGCCTTGGAGTCAAAAGGACCTGAGTTCAAATTCGACCTCAGACACATGACACTTATAGCTGTGTGACCCTGGGCAAATCACTTACCCCTGATTGCCTCACAAAAAAAAAAAAAGAATCAGGAGATCATTGAGCACAGTAACAGCAATGTTGTAACGATGATTAACTATGAAAGACTTGGTTACTGTGATCAATACAATGATCCAAGATAATTCTAAAGGATTTATGATGAAAAAATCCAACTCCAGAGAGAGAACTGATGAATTATGATGCAAGATGAAGTATAATTTTCTCACTTCCTTTATTTTTCTTGCTTTTAAAAAATATGTCTCTAATATGGAAGTCTTGCATGATTTCACACGTGTAATTGATATATTGCTTGCCTTCTCAATAGGTGGGAGAGGGTGGAAGGGAGGGATAGAATTTGGAACTCAAAATTTTAAAAGAAAATAATGTTAAAAATGAATAAGTAAAGGGGCAGCTAGGTGGTGCAGTGGATAGAACTCCAACCCTGGAGTCAGGAGGACCTGAGTTCAAATGTGGCCTCAGACACATAACACTCACTAGCTGTGTGACTCTGAGCAAGTCACTTAACCCCAATTGCCTCACCAAAAAAAAGAGAAAAAGAAAAGAAAAAAGAAAAAAAGAATAAGTAATAAGTTAAAAATAAAACGATTGCTCATTTAGAGCTGGAAGAATCATCATCTAGTTCAGTCTCATTTACAGATGAGAAAACTGAGTCTCAAAGAGGTGTGACCAAAGGTGACAAGTAAGAGATGTGGGATTCGAACTTGGGTCCTGGGACTCTAAGTTCATAACTCTTTCTCCTGGACCACAAACTATTGCTTTCCTTTCTAAACCAATGATCCCACTTCCTCACCGCCCTCTCCAGAACTCTGATGTTTCAGGCAAGAGGAGTTCATCATGTCAGTGTAAGAATGGATTCCCATGAGAAGGGGGCATGGGAGGTCTTGGCTACAACAGGTTATGTAGAAAATGGAGGCCTATGAAGGCCAAGCAGAGCAGTGAGTTCCAAGAGCTCAATTCACCAGGATATCACACTAGCACAGCCGTCCGTCCTTGGAAAACTTAGAATAGTTGGGCCTGACCTTGGGAAAATTTTTACCTATAAAACAAAAGTGGATAGCAGAATGGATTAGAAACCAGAATCCAAAATTTAGCTTAAGGTCTTTGATTCAGTCACCAATTGGATGGGACTGGAAAGAATCCCATTCATTCTTAAATTCAGGCTAGGCCTGGCCTTCAGCAGCATTAAGAGTCAGAGAACTGTCTGTAGTCCTTCCTATATCCCCATTTCTGCCCCCTTCCCTCATTCAAGTGCACTTCCTATGACCCCTCCAGTTCTTTAATGCTTCTCTGCCCTCAGGTGAGGGAGGAAAGTGACTGAGAAACTCATTCCCCACAGAGGTATGAGGGGATGACTGAAAGGGTTCTGCAGACGTGTGTGTGTGTGTGTGTGTGTGTGTGTGTGTGTGTGTGTGCATGTCTGGAGTAGCACGATGTAAGAGAAAAGTTAAGAAGGGGCAATGAAGATGCCCCTGTCACCCAAAGAAACAAACACAGCAGCTCCTGCTATGAGCCAGAGGCATCTAAAGTTACCCAAAATCACAGAACTTTTCCAAATTGGAAGGGACCCCAGTGACCACCTAGTCAATCCACACCTGGAAAAGAATCCCCATTACGATACACCTGACTGACCATCCGGCCTTTGTTGGAAGACATCCCTGCCAGAGATACATCATTCCACCTCTATTAGGATGTTTCTCCTGGTATCAAGCCTAAATTTGCCTCTTGGCAGCTTGCTCCAAGCTTTCTGCCCACCTGCCCTGTTGGCCATTCCAATGGCCTGGGCAGCCTCGTTCACTGCTCTTAGTGAGTCTTCCTCACGTGTTGGCTGGTTTGAGAATCCCACGAGTTCTCTTTCCACTCTCCTTGCTGAGTGTGAAACCAACTCCCTTTGTGCCCAAGGCCAAGTACCTGCAGAATGTGTAGATGACCAGCAGGTTTCCCAGCACTCCTGTGAAACCCACAACCAAGATGGTAGCACCAATGGTATAGTGGGCATGGTCCGGGGCATCTACTGTAGGGAAGATATTCCGGGAATGGGGTGGCAACCCCACTGCCTATGGAGAGAGACAAAAAGAACAAAAATTCATAGACCTAAAAGAGAGCTCAGAGGCCATCTGGTCTAACCCCTTCATTTTACAGATGAGGAAATTGAGGCATGGTGAGATTAAAGTGAGAGTGTGATGAGACTTGCCAGGGGAAAGCAGATGGCCTAATTTTCTGGGAGCGGGGACAGACAAAAAGGACTCTGTAGAAGGGAGAAAAGGAGGGAGGTCCTTTCTGCACGTTTCTCCTGCCAGCTCATCTCCAGACAGCACCCTACGCCTCAGTGTCTCCTGCTGGAAGCAAAGAATGTCCTATGGTTTCATGCTTTAACTAGACTGGAAGTTGAAGCAGGCTAAGGTGATGAGCACAATTGTGGAAGGATGCGTGTATCCTGCAAATACATCCAAGTAAGAGACTACTTTGTTTTTTTTAATTAGGAGTCAGAGAATTGTCTTTGGTCTTTCCTATATCCCTATTTCTTTTTTTTTTTAAATTAAATTTGTTGTTAAATTTTTATTAAATTTATCAAATTGACTACTTTTTTATTCAATTTTCTTTTCTTTTAAGATTTGTATTCTGTCCCTCCCACTTCTCATTCTCTCCTCTCCTTCCCATTGAGAAAGCAGCCAACCACTTATTTCTAATCAAGCCCCTGAGACTTTCATTGCAAAGACTCCAGAGCCAGTAACCATGGAAAATCACCAGCTGGGCAAACAGGCTCCCATCTTCTTAATTCCCAAGCATGACTGATCTCGGATTCATTACCTAGGGCTTTGCAGGAAAAATTATCATAGGACTGACCCAAAGTGAGAAAGACACCTGAGGAACCAAAGCCTCTTGAAAATCTCATGTGAGGGAAGCCCCAGGGCTGGTGTTGAATAATTGGGCCTCTAAGGAGGAGGGTAATCTTCAGATTGCAATTAGAAAAATGATTCAGACCACCCAAGATTTTCTGAGGCCCAAGAAAACATTCTACTTACCTGCTCTAATAATAACTCACATTCCAATGAGGCTTTAAGGTTAATAGATGCCATCACCTGCCAACAAACCATGGAGGTGGTGCAGGTAGGCTTTTTTTAAATGGTTTTTTGACTGCACTTATGATTCCATCAGGAGGCAGTGTGGCGTAGTGGGCAAAAAGCTGGCCTCAGAGTAAGGATGACACATACTGATTGAGTGACCATGGGCAAGTCACTTACCATTTCACAGACAAGACTCGGATATTGCAGAGCAGGTCCCAGCTGCCTTGATAGAGAACTCTTCGCTCAGAGTTCTCGATTAGGATGAACTCGCAGTGCAAGCATTGATTCTGATTTTGGAGTTACATGTCTTGCCCAGGTCATCTAGCTAGGTGACTAGAGCTAGGACTGGAAACTAGGTTTTTCTTTTTCTTTTTCTTTTCAATAATTAAATTTTGTTTTCAAATGAAGCTCCACCTTCTCTCTCTCCCCTCTCCCTTCGACTCCAGTGAATCCAGCTTGTTCTGACTCAGAATACGGCTCTGGACACTCTTTTCAGTCCAGTTCCCATCGCAAATGAGGAGCTAAGTGCAACAAGATCATTAGAAGAGTTGGGGAGTTGTTTGTTTGATTTTTTTAAATAGGCCTATGAGAGAATTTAAGACAATTCCCGGGCCTCTTCCATTTCCTGGCTCCAGCATTATCAAGATAATGTAGCTCAAAGTCAGCTTCTTTTTTGAATTGGGGGTAGGAGGGGGAAGTCAAGTCTAAGTCAAGCTAAGTGCTGGCAATATAAAGAAAGGTGAAGATAGACCCTGCCCTCAAAAGGCTTACGGTCTAATGAAGGAAGCAACAGGTAAAGAACTAGATAGACACAAGATCTGTCTAGAGTAGATAGAACGTCCTCTGAGAGGTCAGAGCATTGGAGGGATCACTTCTTTTTTTTAGGGGAATCTGAAGCCATCCTCCTACCTTCAAGTAGGGGAAGCAACGTCATACAGCCCTGGTTTTAGAGTCAAAGGACCTGAGTTCCGATCCCACCTTTGATGCTTACTACCTGAGTGACCTTGGGTAAAGTACTCACTGCCTTGAGGAACTCAGGTTCCTCAACCGTACAATGAGGGGGCTGAGCCATATGATTCACAAGGGTCCTGTGAACACCTCCAGGTCTATGATCAATGATCTAATGATAATCTGGACCTGTGCCCGAGGCCCCTTCCTTCTCCTGGTGAAGCAAACACAATCCTTCCCACCTTTTTCTCCACTAGTGATAATCCTTTACACCTGGACACTACTTTGCACATTGGAAAATATATTCACCTCTGTTATGACACTTGATTCCAACCCACCTCCCCAGGAGTGGTGCAGGGCAGAGAGTCTTACTCTAATTGGATAAATCAGGAAGTCTCGTTTATCCCAAGAAAGTCTTGCTGTGCTGTGGATTCCTGACGGAGCTGAGATAGGGATGCATGCACTAAACCCCTAAGCCTGCCTTCCAGTCTCCAGAAGCCAGTGAAGCACAGGCCGGCAACAGGAGGAAATGACCTTGGGAGGGGAAGGGGGACCTTCCTCTGTCAGAGGTTTGTGGCTGAGCGGGATTGATCCTAGCTTGGCTCGAAGCCACAATGCTGGGAGGTGGCTGAATTAAAACAGCAACGCTGTCCAGCTCTCATCCCATCGGAGGAAAGTTGGGGAGAGGTTAGCAGCTTCCATCAGCCAGGCTTATAAAGGGTAAGAATTTAGGGCAGCCCCTGCCTCATGATTATCCAGGTAATCTGGCCCACGCACATTTTCTTTTCTAGTACCTAGCTGCTGTGCCTTGCACTTAGTAGACATTTAATAAACGTTTGTTAAAATGAATTTCGTGTTCTGAGTAGCCCAGACGATCGTTACTGTGTAGCCCAAGCCCGGGGGCCTCTGGGAGTAGGGGGAAGCTCAGGGAAAGAGTGCAACAGCATGAAGAATGGAAGAGCGCTGGGAGGTCGTGAGGATGGAAGGATGCCGTGGAGGCGAGGTATTTGGCAAACCCTAAAGTGCGACATAAATGTCAGTTGTTATTATCATCATCTCCTTCTCGCTGGGAGCATTCCTGCGTGAGAAGGAGGCTGTCCGTACAGAACTTCCCTTTATAGTGCCCCAGGGAATCCCCCCCAGACCAGGGAGAGGGACACTCTGGGTCATTCCCTCCCTCCTTCCTTTGTTTTTAGGGGATGACCTTGGTTTTGGCCACATGGCTATCTGGTCACTCTGCTTTGGTTACTTTGACTTGGACAGGAGGCCAACTATTAGGGCAAAAATACAGCAAGCCACCTGGACTGGTGGCTTCCTCCTTTCTTTATAAAGTGACCTAGTACTGTTCTCCCCACTCCCCTCAAAAATTAGTTCATAGGATTGTAGATTTAAAAGGGACCTTAGAGGCTGTCTTGCACAAACCCCTTATCTTACAGATCAAGAAACAGGCCTGAACTGAAGTTAAGCGGCAAAACCAGAATCTGGCATTGTTTTTGCCTTTCTCTGTATCCTTAGCTCTTAGCACAGTGCCTGACTCATAGTAAGGACTTGATAAAGGCTTTTTGACTGACTGACTGATTGCCCACGTGACCCAGTTATTTAAGGGTCTAAGGAGGGACTTGAGGCCAGATCTTCTGGACTCTATGCTATTCTACCTATATCTATCCATGCTATCAACTGCCAACCTCTTGCCCTCCTCATTATCTGGGTTCTGAACCTCTCTCGAGTCTCCTTTTTTCTCTCCCATATCCCCTCCCTCTTCTCTGAGGGAAGGACTGGCTGAATTCCAGAAACAGTTACGGGCTGTTCCTCCCTTATTCCTCCTTTCTCCCCCCCCCAGCCCCCACCTTCTGAAAATATCCACTCTTCTTATAGTAAATTCTAGGAAAATCTGATTATGTAGCATGGAAAATCTGACTCAGCCTTTCAAGGCTGATTTTATATTGCTCTCAACCCCAGCAAAGATGGGCATCTTTCCTTGTTCCCCACCAAAAACAAATAAACAAAGAATGCCTCAGTAAACTCCAGTGGCTCCCTATTACCCCAGGAAATAGGCAATCTGCTATTTGGCATTTAAAGTCCTGTACAGCCTGGCCCCCTCCTCCCTTTCCAGTCTTCTCTCACTTTATTCCCCTCCATGTACGTTACATTCCAGTTATACTGGCTATTCCTAGTACAGGACACTCTATCTCCCAGCTCTATCCATGTCTTTTCACCGGCTGTCCCTCATGCCTGGAATGTTCTCCCTCCTCCTCTCTACTTCCTGACTTTCTCTGTCTCTGTCTCTCTGTCTCTGTCTCTGTCTGTCTCTCTCTCTCCCTCCCTCCCTTCCCTTATCTCTCTCTCTTCCCTCATTTCTCTCTTCTGTCATCTATATCTTTTCCCTCCTCTCTCTCTCTCTGTTCCTCCTTATCTCCTTATCCCTCTGTCTCTCTCTCATCATCTACCTGTCTCTATCTCTGTCTCTCTCTTTCTCTGTATCTCCCTATCTCTGTATGCGTGTCTCTCTCTGTGTCTCTCTGTCTCCGTCTCTCTCTCTCCCCCTTACCTCTCTTCCATCACTTCTCTCTTCCATCATCTACCTTTCTCCTCTCATCTCTCTCTGTGTGTCTCCTCATCTCTCTGTCTCTTTCTGTCTCTGTCTTTCTCATTGTCTAGCTGTTTCTCTCTCTCTCTCTCTATCTGTGTCTCTCTCTTTCTCTGTATCTCCCCATCTCTCTCTCTCTCTGTCTCTTTGTCTCAATCTCTTCCCATCTCTTTCTGTCTGTCTGTCTGGCTGACTCTGTCTCTGTCTCTCTTTCTCTCTCCTCATCTCTCTGTCTCTCTGTCTCTGTCTGATCATCTCTGTCTTACCCACCTCCCCAGCTGCTAAAGCCTTCCTCTCTGAAATTGCCTTCCTATTGTACACATCTGTACCTATCTTGTAGCTTCACAGTTATTTGCATGTTGTGTCCATCATTAGAATGTAGCCCATCAAGCTCAGGGACTGTGTTTTTGCCTTTCTGTGTACCCCTAGCACTTAGCTGAGTGCCTGACACATAGTAAGCACTTACTAAATTCTTGTTATGAGGGTCATTGATGATGAATGTGCTTTCCTGCCTGTGCCTTTGTTCACATTTCCCTCTGTACCCGGGATGCCCTACCTCCCCCTATTCATCTATTGAGGCAATGGGGGGAAATTCTGTATCTGGAGTTTGGGGACCTGGGGTCAAATCCTGGCTCTACCACTTACTACTTATGTGACCTTAGAGAAGTTAACTTAACCTCCATGGACCTCAGTTTCCTCATCTGAAAAATGTGGGAGTTGAATTAGATGATCTCCAAGGTTCTAAATCTCTGATCCTATGAGGACAGATCACAGAAATTTAGGATTAATAGAATTATAAGTGAAGTTAAGTGACTTGCTTAGTGTAACACTAATAGATAGAGGGGCTAGGAAAAGTCTTGGTGCAGTCTAGTAAAGCTTCCTTCTGTAGCTGGAGCTTATTTATTGCCCACTGGCTAAAGTTGAGATAGGGGCAATCATCTTGACCTCCTTCCTTTAACAAGGTGTTAGAAAGATGCCAGAAAGGGACTCTACCACGCTTTTGTCCCTTCTGAAGAGGAACATGCCCATACAGCCACACCAATAAAGTTCCATGATAACTTAGGGGAAGATCTGGGGTCCTTGTTCTGGGTCTAGCAAACTAGGTGCCCAATTTGGATTCTAGGGCTCTCCCTTCAAAAATCTCACCATCTTATTCCCTCAAAGATGCCGTGGGGGAATTCCAATTCACCATTCTCATGCTTGACTCTGGGGGGACTCTGCCCTTTTCTGAAATGACTGACTTGACAAAGAGTAGTTTTCTAGATGCTTCATTGACCTTTAACAACCATCTTTTTTCACCCTCTGATCTAGGGATTGTTTCCCTGGCAGGCTCAGGTGTAGAGTGGGGGTGGGGAAAGTTACAGGAGATGTAAGTGCTGTCTGCCTCCCAGATAGCTATGGTCTAATAGGACCAAAAAATGATTCCATGACCTGGCTTACCGTGGGAATGCTGGGAGGAAGATCGAGCACACGGTAGGCATCCACTTCTGTGCTGTTCCACTCACTGATGGAAGTCATGATCTTGGTGCAATTGGTGTCCTGAACTGGGCAGGAGAGACCCCTTAGCCTGGGAGAAGGATTCATGTTCAGAGAGCAACGTTCATTGCTGATGCCCTTTGAGAAGATACTCCGGCTTAGTTCAAAGCATCTACATTCAGTCCCGGTTCATTTGCTGTCCCCTGGCTTCTCTTCCTTTTGTCTATAGTAGACTTCAGGGCTCCTTCTTCCTGGAAGGTGAGACCCTGCCCTGGGCTGCTCGGTGGAGTTTTGTGACTGTGTCACATCGTCAGTCCAGAAGATGCAGCAGCCAGGGTCTGCCCCTTTAAATATCAAAGCCTGAGGGACTGGCACATGCCCAGTCGGGACCTGGGTCAACTGCATCAAAACTGTAAATGTTATCCTTAACTAACAGCCTGGTTTGTGCTAACATCAGATGAAGGAAGGTGTGTGTGCTTTGTGAGCAAACAAAGAGGGAGCTGAGATGGGGGTATTCCACAGCCGGTCCAAGAATTAGTCCTTGATGGTACATTTGTGGCTGCTGGGTGACATCACCCTTCCTTAATCTGTAGGGAAGGGGGGCAAGTCAGGCTTAGAGAGGGGAAATTCAGGGCATCTCAGCACCTGAGCTAGAACCCAACGAGACCATTTAGTTGGGAACTGGAGTAAGGGGCAGTGATGGTGAACACGGATCCATAAAAAATCAATTCTAGTTCTCCATGAAGAAAAATGAGGGATCATCAGAAAATCATGATGCCAGGTGAATTCTTGGGCACATTCCCCAAAGCCTGAGGCTAGTGTTTCTTTTTATTTGGGAAGATTTGACCAGAACCACATCTTCAGCTCCCTGACTCTGCCCAGGATGGTGATTGTTGCTGGCCCAATAGTCATTTCTAGAGTTCCAATTCAAAGCTGAATTCATTCAGAGTCACGTTTAAGGGAAACTCTTGTTTTGGCCAGGTCAATCTTCTAGAGTCACTGGCTAGAGTAATTTTTTACAGTAGCCTCTGGGCATAAAGGCCTGAATGGCCATGCTCCAGCGTAAGTGGGCCCACAAGGTTTCCATCCAGCAGATTAGAATCTAGATTTGTATTGACAGGAAACCAATTCTGTAATTGTATCTCACTAGAGATCTTCAAGTGATGGGTCAGTCATAGATCTCAAGCAGAAAGAGGCCTCATATGTCTTATCTCATCCAAATGCCTTGCTTTATAAATGGGGTTCCTGATGCTCAGGAAGATACTCAAGGCCATAAAAGAATCAGTCAGAATTTGAACTCAGGTCCTCAGACTCTGCTCTTTCCAGTGTACCTCCTGGTTGACCAACGGATAGAGATTGACTAGAGAGAGATGGGGTTGGGCTAAATGACCTCCTGAGTCTCTGATTCTGGGACTTGTTCTGCTCTGCCTCAGAGAGCAGAACTAGGGAGAATGGTGAACTAAGCAAGAAAGAAGCTTCCCTCACCATCAGGCATCTTGTACCATGCAGTGGACTGCCTTGGGAGGGGTGGGTTTCCCCTCACCAGAGGTCTCCAAAGCAGATACTGGATGGGAATCTTGTGCAAGGGATTTTTATTCAATTACATGTTAAATGATGTGACTTCTGAGGTCCCTGCTACCTCTGATGTTCTGTTATTTTAAAGAAGGACCAAGAAAACATTAGCTTCTGGAGGCAGCTCGGTGGCTTAGTGAATAGAGCTCTGGCCTTGGAGTCAGGAGGACCTGAGTTCAAATCCAGCCTCAGACGCTTAACACTTACTAGCTGTGTGACCCTGGGCAAGTCACTTAACCCCATCACCTCACCAAAAAAGAAAAAAGAAAAGAAAACATTAGCTTCTAAGAATTTAAATAAGGCAATAGATAGATAGATGGATGGATGGATGGATAGATAGATAGACAGACAGACAGACACAGATATTTAGGGAAGACATCTGATTTCCTGGTCACTGACAAATACCTGTGATCTGTGCAATGTCCTGGCTTTCTGCCCATCCACATATGCTTCACATCCACTCAGACAACGAGCAGGCATATAGTTATTGTTTTGCCTCTACACCTTTGGGGACGGGTCGGTAAAGATAAATGGACCATTAACAGATGGGAGAGAGTCAACAAACCCACAGAAATGGAGGCAGGTGTGTTCAGTTCCAGAGGCAGATAAAAACCAGTCCAAAGATCAAAACTAGAAATCCTAGAGGTAAAATATTCTGGAAAACAAGCTTTGAGTTTGAAAACATCAAGTCTGAAGTCAGCAGCAGGATTAGTGTAAGTGGTATTGGATTACGGAGAAGAGAACAATCCCAGAATCCCAGAAGTTCAAGGAAAGAACCTCAGGGGTGGTTTAGTCCAACCCAGACCTGACCATGGATGGTTCTCTGGATTAAAATCACACAAAGAACCTACCATTTGATATTTACCTTGTATGTGCTCTCTCTCTCTCTCTCTCTCCCTCCCCTTCTCTCTTTCCTATCTCCCTCCCTAACTTCTCCTCTCCTTTCCTCTTCTCTTCTCTCCTCTTTTCTTCTCTCTCTCCATATCTATATCTATATATACATATAATATGTATACAAACAAGTAAATACATTTTAGATATAAATAAATATTATATATATACAAATTCTATTTGTTTACTTATCTGTATATAAAATACATTTTAGATATAAATAAATATATATTTACTTATTTTTGTACATGTTGTTTCACCCTAAAAGATAAGACAGAGACATAAAAGACATAGAGATAGATAGGTAGATGGAGGGATATAGGGATAGAGACAGATATGACAGATATTGACATGATAGAGATAGAGGCTAGATATGATAGATATGATGGCTAGAGATAGATAACTATGATAGAGATATAATATGATAGATGGATGTCATAAATAGATAAGAGATACAAGAGAGACATAGAGAGAATATTTATTAAGTAATTACAACATACCAAGCACTGTGCTGAATGCTGGGGATATAAATATAGGGAAGACAGCCCCCGTCCCTGCCCCCAAGGAGCTTCCCTTTTAATGGGGGCAGTTAAAACATGAAGGGGGAGGGGCATGGTGTGGAGGTAGCCTAGAAGCAGTTTGGAGTCCCAGTTCTGGGTGAGATAAGGCAACGCTTCTCCATAAGAGCCTGGCCCAGAGCTGAGAGTCCAAGGTTGAGAGAAGAGGATGAAGATGGGAATGATGGCGGGAGAGAAGGCAGCATGGGGTGAAGACAGCCAATCGTGCAGGCATGGCTCCAGGCAAGGCAAGGTGAAAACTCACCTATCAAGGCCTGCTAGAAGCTTTTTGAGGGCCAGGACTGGTTCAGGTTATTATTTGTTTGTTAGTTAGTTTTGTCCTTGTATTCCTAAGTGGCATGGCACCTGGCACAAAGCAAACACTTAACAGGTAGCATGTTGAATAGAATGCTGGACTGGGAATCATGAAATCCTGAGTTCAAATGTGGCCTCAGACACATGCTATTTGTTTTCTTATCCATAAAATGGGAATAATAATAGCACCTACTTCACAGGGTTGTTGTTAGGATCAAATGAGATAATATTTTTTGCACTCCTTAAAGTATTCTATAAATACTAGCTTTCTTATTATTTTTATGTTATTATTACTGGTCATCTAATTCAAAGTTGAAGAAAACCTCAGGGGATTAAAAAAAATCATAATGCATAGATTCCAGAGTTGTACTGTCCACTCTAACCTGATTTCCTGAAACTTTCATTGTCATGGTTCGCCCACTCTGTTTCTTCTGGGGCTGGTATTTCTCTGACTCAGCCTCCACTACTAAGCCATTTGCCTACCAATCACTTTTCACCTACAGATACCTCCCTGGAACTTGAGGTGGTTATTCAGCGGAGTGTTCCTAGAAGACCTCTGCAACTTGTAGAGTATGCACATTGCCTGCTCTCTTCCATAGGGAGTCTCCCCAGGCCTATGTCCTGGTCAGTTCACTAGGTACTGTTAGCAGCCTTATCATCTCTGTGAATCAAGGAAAGGGTGGTGGATGAGGACTTGGAGGAAGAAGTCTGTGGTTAGGGTGAAGCCATCATAGGCCAGTGCGACCAGAGTGGACATGGACTGGGTAATCTCATCCTTTCAGGAAGGCCATTAGGCTATCTGAGAATTATGAAGAAGATGCCTGCTGTCTTCCCACCCATTTCTGAAAAGTTTCAGTAGGTGCAGTGGTAATGGGAGAATAGTCAGATCTGATCGCCTATATTCAACCATAGTTTGCACTTTCTAGGTTCACGTATAACCTAAGTTGTAACAGAATTCTGTGGGTGGGTGGCCTAGTTGTCCTAATGGTAGAAGCTGTTGCACTGGAGATGCTGTCTCCAGGGTTCAGTTTATGTCTTCTGTTTGCTCATTGGTCAAGGAATGATGTGCAATGGAAAGGTGAATCTTTATCCTAAAGGTGATATGATAGGGCTGTGCAAAAACTAGGTGCCTGATTAGAGGGTCTGTGGGAACATTGGCGATGAGAAAGTTCTGGATGACTTTTTTTAGAAAAGGGTGAGTGGCCTTGGCCTTCGTGAGAGGTTTAGCACATGGGAAGGAATGATTCTTTTAGATGAGCATGCCTACTGCGAACAAGATGGCATCATACCTGAGACAAGGGCAAGTGTGTGATGACATCTAACCTGACTGTCACCCAAGGTCATGGGGGAAGTTGACAAGGTCAAAACAAACTTGTTGGTCCCTGGCCTGGATACCGATTTCAAATGTACACATTTGCCAGCTGACACTGTACTAAAGTTGTGATCACAAGTCATGGATAACCACGTGTAAAGTCTTGAACAGGCCTCCATGGTCTGCAACTAGACGGTCATGGAAGAGATGGACTACTGATCACTGAATCCTTTCTTCTTCCAAATAAATTCATATTAATACTTTTCTTTTACATCATCTACTTATCCTAAAATATTCCTCCTTTCCCCCCCCATGAGAAAGCTCCCCTTTGTAATGGAGAATAAACAAGAGAAACAAACAAAAAAAAAATTCAGCACAGCCAATACATAAAAAAAAAGATTCTATGTAATAATCCTTGATCAAAGTCCCTCCCCTCTGCAAAGA